CCACAGCTTCAAAAGCCTTTTGTGCTCTATCAGCATCATCTTGATTTTTGTCAGGATGCACCAATATGGACAACTGCCGAAACCTCTTTTTTATTTCTTCATCTGTCACTTCTGGATCTATCTGAAGAACCTCAAATGGGTTCAAGTTGAAATAAGAGGAACCAGGACGGGTCAATCTTTCAATCTGATTTTTGGACGTCAGAACTGAATCTCTCTTCTCTATTTGTTTCACCTCACTGTAAAAGGTCATAAATGCTTCCTCTGTGCTGCCTCCGCCGGCCGAAGCCCCGCTCTCTCCTGAAGCCACCATTTCCCCGGCCCAGCCACCTAGTCTATTTTTTTTTAAAGAGAGAGAGAGAGAGAATTTTAATATTTATTTTTTAGTTCTCGGCGGACACAACATCTTTGTTTGTATGTGGTGCTGAGGATTGAACCCGGGCTGCACGCATGCCAGGCAAGTGCGCTACCGCTTGAGCCACATCCCCAGCTCCATCCTCTTGGTTTCCCTGAGCAGCCAGGTAAGTTCACATCCCGCCCCATCCGAACTTGCAGGGGACGGCTGAACTCTTAGATCTTAACTCTGTTAATCTTCACTGACTTTTTAGCTCATAGATGCCTTTATATTTTATACCTTTTTCAGATTTTCTGATCGTTCTCAGTAGGAGCATGGATCTGAATGTCCTAGGCTGTCATAGCAAGAAGACTGAGGTTCTTTTTCAAACTTTAATTCACTTGGGATAGATTTCATTTTGGGGTGAGTTATCATTATATTCCCAACATCATTCATTGAATAATATTTCCATAATGGTTAAAAACCATCACCATTATCAGATTCAAATGTTTTTACAATTGCCATACTGTAAATGATTCGAATCTGATTCTGAGCTTTTTATTCTATTCTACTTTTAATATTTGTGTACCAGGACCATATCATTTGCTGGTGTCAGTCTATTACTATAATTTTTATTTACTTATTTATTTATTAGTTATAGATGGACACAATACTTTTATTTTATTTATTTATGTGATGCTGAGGTTTGAGCTCAGTGCCTCACACATGCTAGGCAAGTGCTCTACCACTGAGCTATAATCCCGGCCCCATATTATTATAATTTTATAATACATTTTCAATATAGTGAGAAAAGATCTCCTCTGTTCTGTTTCTCTCTCTTTTTACAGATTTTTTTTCTCATGTCTTTTTTCCTGTGAGATGAATTTTAGAATCTTAATTATATTTCTCCACCAAAATCTCATTAAAAATTTGCTGGGAATTTTATTAAATGTATATATTTGAAATTCATCACTTTAATATATTTTTTTAATGTAGTAACATGCCTTAAATCTTTCATTACATAAGTCTTTTAAAATGTGTCCTAATCTAAGAAGGCAAAGGAGCTGGGCTTCCATACTCCCAAACCAGTTAATCATTGGATAAGCATGGCCTAGAGAGGTACAAATCACAGGTACTGCTTGTGCAGGTAATGTGTTCTAGCAACCCAAGGAAAGTTATTCCAAAGAAAAGTCTATAGTTTTAAGCTCTTAGAAATCAAAGCACAATGAAGCCAGGGGAAGAGCACACAGAAACTGTGAAGGGGTGTGAGGGGGGTCTGATGGACCATAACACATGTGTTTGTTTTGGGTGTGTGTACATTTAGTAGTTGAAATTTTTCATCCAATGTGACCAGTGTTTTTTCTTGGAAATCTGCCCAGCTTATTCATAGTAGCCTCTCTGGAGCTGCTCCCTGGGCAAACAATAGAATCATTTCAGTTTCCTTCTTCCTTAACTTGAGCATCACCTACAAACAAAGTATTGTAAACCCTACTTTGCTGCACTCCAGTATCTGTAACTTTATATTTTAGTACAACCTTAACCCCACAGCTGCCCCCAAAACTATGAAATACAAAATAACAACCACAGAGTGGTCAAGAAGAAATAATTGTAAAGTATGGTCAAGCATATATATTGGTGGCAGAAAGGAATTATGTGAGTTAAACATGGCACGTTTGTCAGCAAGCTGTTGCTTCAGTTCCAGATTGGGTCTAAGTTCTAAGAGAAGGAGACTGGGTAAATAGGGAGTGACCTCTTTTCACAAAAGGTAAAATGTGGCAATGCAGAACCAGGCTGCTCTACATGGGTAGCCTTGTAAGGATGACAGTGACTCAACAGAGCACACATATGATGGGTGTATCTATCTGCTGTGGGCTTTAGACCATTCTGAGATTCTAATGTGTTTTGACTTTGGAAGCATCTGCAAGAAGTTTGTTTCAGGGGCCCCATGAGTAGGAGAAGAGATGTCAGCAGCCCTGGGAGACCTCATAAAGCCTTTGAGGACAGCAAGTAACTATGAGATAGGCATCTCTCCAGGAAACCAGAGTTGGAGCAGAGGTGAGAAAGAGAGTGGATGTTGTGCAGCCCATGTCCATGAACACACCTGAGATGCCTGCCACAAATAGCTGGGAACGAGATGGCGTCGACTTGAGGAGGCACACACCAAGCCAAGACTAGATGTGCAAAGCATTTCTTGAGGGCAATGCCTATGATGGAATAAAAGAAGGAAGCTAGTGAAGGTGAAGGTCAACTTTCAGATCATGATGCAAGTCTGACTCCTGTGAAGAGGGATTAAGTAGAAAGAAAGTCTCGGCCAAGCTGATGGGGAGGGGTGAGCCAGCTTTTCCTGGTAGAAGTCCCATGTCCTGCAGGAACTCATTCTGTTCAGTCTTTGGCTGGGAACAGCCCCTTGGAAACACAGTCTTGGGACAAATGTGATGGTCGATCCAGAGAGGCAGCAGTTGGATCATCAGACAATCCTGTTCCCATTGTAGGAGATCTAAGCATCTCCTCTTCCTGGCCACCACAATTCTATACTACCCCACAGGGCCAGAAGAGAGAAATATCTTTTGCTAAGAATTTGTAAAGTTTGAAGCCTGGGCTAGTGTGATGTAGGTGGAGAAACTTGGATTGCAAATTTGGTTACAAATTTTTAAAACTTTGGGATCTTAAAAAGTTATAGGTCTAGTTTTTGGAACTCCTTTATCCAGAAATGGGCTTTTATTTCCTTATGATGTCTATTAAGTGAAGCAAATCTATAGTAGATAAAATTGGAAGGCATCTAAGACATCCTAGGATAACTGACTTGCACAGAGATGGTCAGAATGAGATTTTCTCACCTCAGTATATCAAAAGTCAATATGTTGTTACATTGTCTAAACCCACACAGGATTAGCTAGGGTGACAAAGGTGAGGACACGTGAAGAATCCCGGTAACACAGGGGAAATTACAAACATCTTCTACTCTAACTGCTCAGAATTACCAAGGATTTGAAAGTTGCCCAAGAAGTCCTATCTAAGGAAAAGAAAAGCTGCTCAGCATAGCCAGCATTTCAGAACACTGGTGACTCCTCCCCTAGAAAGGTGTTTAATGGAACAAAAACCTGTCCAATATGCATTTGCAATGATGCCATGGGTCAGGACTGTCAACTCAAGAATTATTTGTTCAACTGGTGCTTCAGCCACATCAAGTTGAACTTGTTCACCAACACATACACTAAGGGGTCACTCCTGGAAAGGGAGAAAGGTAAATATAGGGCAGGTAAAAGAAAGTGTGTGTAGAGGTAGCAACTTACTGAACTGGTTTTACCAGGAACCAGCAACATAACTTCTAACTCTACTCAAAGATTTGATAAGTGTGTACCTGACAGATCACCAGCCATGATTTGCAAGTGTCCTGTTTTAATCTGTGGAGGGGACATCAGAGAGATTGTTCTGTTGGTCCCACAACATTACCCACTTGGATCAGATTGCTGGACCAAACTGAAATGGTTCTAATGCAATTATTATTGAGCAAATGAATGCATGTGAAGAAATTTTAAGGCAGCTGTTCACATCTATGGTTGTGCTCAGCTCAGAGCATGGTTTTTGTTGGTGTGGTGGGACTTCCACCAAGAAGATAATTTCCTGGAAATTGCCCAGACATCTTCATCTGATCAGCTCTGGAGAATCCTGAAGTACATCTTGTTTCTGTGTTTTCTCTTACAAAAGTTGTTGAACCAGAGGCAGGAGTTTCTGGAAGACCAGATATTGTCTAAACCCTTTTCAAACACATAATCCCAATCTGTAGAAATGAGTAGCTATGGTTGAAGGGATGAGGAATGGCGATTGGGTAAAGATGGAGATAATATGTGCCCATCTCTCTGTTCCTGTGAAGTCCTTGGAGTCTCTCTTCGGGGCATGATTTGAGAACTACGATAAAGGAAATCTAGGTATTTAGAGTTGAATGGATTGATCAGTGACATTTTTTCAATCCTAGACTGCTTGTTTGACTATATGATTACAGAATGCCATCCCACATAGATTAGTCCAAGTTCTCTGGTGAATATAGATAAACTTTTCTAGAAAGAAGCATGATGACCTGAACAGAACATGAGCTTCAGATTCAGAGAACTGGATTTCAGACTTGACCCTGACACTAATAAGCTGTGTGATTTCTGCAAATAATTTTTCCAAGTCTCGGTTTCCTTCTCTTTAAAATGGGGAGAATAATGTTCACCTCAAACAACTGTTTGAGAACATCCATGTGACATGTACATGCCCTTGGCTGAGACGGACAAGAACTGTGTAAACAAACATTCTCTAGAAGCTCTTGTCTGGTTTTTCTGACACCCCTTTGTACCTTCAGAGTTCCTATCTTTGGCTACTTTGTATCTGGCACTGCAGGCCAATATCAGTGGGGCCTAGTGGGAAGTCCTTGGGTCATGGGGGCCTTGCACTTGGAAGAAAATACTGGTCTCCTAAAGTGAATTATCAGTATAGGGGGTTGTCATAAGAGTGGATCTGAGCCCTGCGTTGCTATCTGGTTCCCCATTCGATGGTGTCATCTCTT